CTTTAATGACGTCATCTTTGGAACCGTCTACTTGTCTCTTAGCAACAGCACGTCAAAAGACAAGAGAATTTTTTAGTTACACTTTTCTGTCATTTAATTGCATGAATGTTGATCTGATACGGCACCAGAGCCGATACATTACGTTACAAGACGTACCCACTAAATTTTCAATTAATATTGTCCTTTAAAAATACTTCACTTCGCCACACTATTTACAATACTGAATACGTTACACATTCTCTATTTCTAAACATACTTCTTCGTACGTACCTATGGTGCGCGCAACAATTCCTAACCTAGTACCACGGATGCCTTACTGATTTCTACCTACGTTCGATAGTATAGTGTTCTGTCTTTATTCATAACATGAAGCACTAAATTAATTGCATTGGCAAGGAAGATTATATTAAAAGATAAATACTTTTTTTATGAAAAATAAATGATTTTTTCATCAATAAGTTACACACATGTTACGTTTGTTGTTAAAAATTGGAAGAATATGATACATAAATTTCTATATATCAGAACAATGTTAGTTATTTAAATGATAAAGTGGAAATTTCTCTGTAACACTTTAAAATGACTTCATGACTAAAGTAATGTTTTTATTGATAGAATTATATATATATTTAGTGAGGAAGGGAACCTAAAATGTCAATAATTCTAAAAGTAAAATTATTAGATAGGTAGAAAGATTCTGACGATTTGTAATGTTATCATCTTTAAGATTATAAAGAATACGAGACTAAATCTTTCATAAGTAAAATTATTGTTTATTCACTTCTGGACTGCATTAATTAATATCAGTGTAAGGTTGTGTGGTTCTGAGAGCTTTCTTCGAATATGGATCTTCACGCATGTATATGATAGAATCTGTTTTTCCCTCTCTGGTGAACGCTTATATATCTTCTTGTCATCCGGTTTCCCCACGTGTGCACATTATAAGAGAACGTAATTACATGTCAGGAGCAGCCACCGATATTCTGGGCGGCGCGAATATGTACCTGTTGGTTATAAGTTTTCCTTCCAGATCAACTCTCTGGTGCACCTGACTCCACTGAGGCTCTGGTACGAGTTCTTATTTGGTATCTAAGGGTAAGCCCAATATATATTGAGGTCACCACAGATCAACTTATCTTAGAACAAATATTCTTTGTTGAAATTAAATTCGATTTGGATCATGTTATTTCCTAGTATGAATCACATACTAGAAATTTATTTCAAAGTCAAATTTTCCCTATTTCCCTGAAAATACAGTTTTAACGTGAGCACTTATATGTATCTTTTATTCCAATTCATGGAATTCATTGAAGAAACAAGTCAATGTAAAAATGATTTATCTCTTGTCATTTTCCACCAGCGCTAAAATTGGGAGTGAATTTGCCAAAGCAACATCTATAACATAAAATGAGAATTCAATTTCAAGGGATATAACTTTAACCAACAAATTATTATGGTTGCTTCCCCTGTAAAAGATGATGGATTGTGTATGTGTATATGTGTCTGTATGCGTATGTGTGTGTCTGTGTGTGCGTTTAGTATGGAACAGGGTGAAATTCAATCTCACGACATAAGCAATAATGTTGACCACCCCCCTCAATGAGGGGTTAAACATCAATGGTTATTTAGGCAGAAATCTTTCATTAATACAGGTTTGATTAAAAGAATATACACATTTTTTGTTAACTGTTTTTGTTTATGGACTAGCAAAATAACGTACGGAATCATAACAATATCTATTGTTCATTAACAATTTAATTTTTATGGGAAAGAGTCGTGACAATGTGGAAAAGTTTTCGTGTGACGCGTTTTGTCTTTTAGGACTTCATCAGTCTATACGTTGATACGACTACACATGCGTACGAACGAAAGAGAGACGCTGAGAATTTTACATTTAAAATATTTTTTTAATATGTGTTCTTGGGTATAATCTAACCGATTTTATTTAGATACTTTTTCTATATTTCTATCACTTTTGTTAATAAATATCCCACATTGTGATAATAGAAGAAGATCTGCCAAGAATGGTCTAAGAAACTTAGACGCAAATTTACTGTGGATGAGCTAGCGAAAGTGCTTTCTAAAAAAACATTTTCGTCTTAGTAAAGTTAGTTTCTCTTTTAATTAGTTTAGCTTTTTATTAATTCAAAATTGTGGCCAGTCTCGTTACGGTGTTAATAATATAATATTTTATTTAAATTTCTTGAGGTTTATCCGATGTGACAAAAATTACAGGTAATAGAGTAAATTCCTTCTTTAAGCTTTTTTGTTTTTATTAAGTCTTTTAGTTTTATTGTTTTATGTAGCTGTGACAAATTTTATGTTGAGTTTAGATAAATTCTTTTCAATTGTAATTGTGATAGAGTTGGTGGGTAGAACAATAATATTCTGATTTGTTGAGTTTGTCAGAAAAGATCGCTTTACTATTTTTAAATATTTTTTAAAACTTTTTTCGCATTGAATATGAAATTAGGGTATTGAAGGAGCTTGAAAATACTTTCAATGTGTTTCTCCTCTTCATGTAAATACTACGGGCTACAAATTCTGTGTTCTCTTAAGTAGAATCTGCTATTTATTCCTAATTTTATTTTATTGTTATGATGAGAATAGAAATTTTAACGCAGATTTAAACCTTTTCTTAAAAAAAACGAACACAATCAAAAATAAACCTCTCTCTATCAATGGCTAGAATAATACAAATCTACCGTCTCATCACCAATCAACGTTATTTCACATTTAACAATAATTTTTGTAAACAATGCAATTATATACAGTGCTCAATGTCCAAATCAACTACGACAGAACAAACCGCTAACCACACAAAAATGACATTCAGTTCAAATCGCTATTCAAGTTTCAAACAAATGCAGTGGGCAAGCGACCAGAACGTAAAATATCATTAAGTATCCCTTTACCAGTATAAATAAGCATTTGCTGCGGAATGTAAAAAATTACCATTTTATGACTCCTGGGATCATTTGTTCTACGAACAATATTTGGCAGATTCGGTTAAAAAGAACAAACAAGACATGGAATTTAAACAAGCAACAATTAATAAATGCATTAACAAAACATGTTGCAGAAGAGTAAAGAAAAAATGAATTTCTTCGTTGAAATTAGTGATAGTTCTACATCATCTTCAGTTGATGTCTCTGAATTACATGCAACGTATTTTATCGGAAAGAGAGGAAGCATGTGTTGTTGCAGTCAAAGGAAAAAGGTAAAAAAACTGAGCCTTTCAAAAATAGCGCCGCTTGTAATTGTCAGAGCCAGTAATCTAACACATTATAGCAGAAAGGGTGTGCTTGCTGTTTGTTCTGTCACCGAAAGAAGTCTGGTAAATCCCGACAGAAAGAGACATTCCCCGTGTTAGATCACTCTGTTTTAAGTCCATTCAAGCTGTCTCACATCAATTAACGAAGCAATTTCTACAACTTAGATAGTTCTTCACGCAAGCATTAGAATTTCATTCATTAAAATTGAACAACTTATTCATACACATAATTAAATTGTGTCACACAAAAAATACTGTATTAAGTGAACATACAGTACACGTATCTTTATTAACCACTTGTAGGGAGATCACAGTTGTTTTCCCTTGGGTTGAGCTGATGGGAGTTTGGCCCCTTTTAGAGAGTAGAACTCTTCTGTCCTTTTTGTATTTGCTTCCGTTCTTGGAGGAACGGCCTCTTTACCTTCACCAGGGTGTCCACACGCGTGGAAACTGGTCAACATGTGCACGACTTACAGCGAGCATGGCGAACTTGGCATATAAGTCTTCTGCACAGGTTCAAAGGTAGATATATGTGCCTAAACTGCTGCAGACATGCACACATGTTTTTTAGTGCGGGACTTGGCTAAGTCCCACACATTGCAGCCAGCCTACATGTGACCCTTCAAAGTCCTTGAGAGACATTCGAAATATTTTATGGTGAGCGTTAACAATGCAACGCAAAGCATTACTATGGGCAGGTTAAAGCCTACCTTTTTGGACACTACCTGGCTCAGCATGGACACTTCAGTGACTCCTCCATCACCAGTGGCACCGAAGGTAGTAAAAGAGACTGTGACCAGATCTGGCCGTCGTGTTAGATGGCCCAAACATTTATTGACATAAGTCATTTTCAGGTTTTGGGTTCAGCAGAACCATAACTGGAGGGTATTCTTCCCTCCACATCGAACTCTTCCTTTTTGATTCGATTGCAAAACCATCTTTCTTTAAATTTGTAATACATGTTGTGAAGTTTTGTTTTTGTTACATTTTAGTTGTATCTCTGGTGTAGGTTAATGGACCTGTCTAGGGAGGGGGTACTTGTAGGGAGATCACAGTTGTTTTCCCTTGGGTTGAGCTGATGGGAGTTTGACCCCTTTTAAAGAGTAGAACTCTTCTGTCCTTTTTGTCTTTGCTTCCGTTCTTGGAGGAGCAGCCTCTTTACCTTCCTGACCACCAGGGTGTCCACACGCGTGGAAACTGGTCAACATGTGCACAGCCTAGCGAAAGAAAAAAGTATTTGCTATTCACTTATCTACGGACGATCAAAGGCCATAAAGTTGGTATGTTATTTCTTTGTTCTCATTCTGTAAACCTCCTCGTTCCTTTGGGACAATATGGACAATCATTTGTTTTGGGACATATGTGAATCTTTTTAATATATGTACGTAAGTTGCTTGATTTATTAAATGTTTTGTTTGTTACGCTCGCGTATTTCGTCTTTCTATGTTCGTATTCACTGTTAGTGTATCAATGGCTACACTAATGCTAATATTAGTATCGGTACTACTGGAAGGCTAAAACACGTTATTCTTCCTAACACAAAAGAGTCGGTAAACTGTGTGGCAGATACCACCATACAAATACACTCATGGAAAAACAGGTGCAAACCTTGTCTGTAAAATGTGTTTGCTATTACACACACACTTCCTTTTTTTCTTTTTTTTTCTTTTTTTTTTTTATATTAATTTTATGTCAACACGCTTGTTACAGTAATAGCGAGAAGCATATGTTTATTTCTTTTCACCATCTCTCTTTTCTTACTCCAGTCATTTTCAGGTTGATTACTACAGTAGGGATAGGGTGTACAGATATCACTTTCGATTTCTTTCTGTATTAACTCACAGGACTTAAACTACAGTCGAGTAATATTGCTAGCAAAGAAAAACAGTAAGAAAATAACAATTCTGCAACAAGCGGAACTTCCATCTGGACAATTCTTGCCAATCATGAAAATTGGTATTCCAAATCCCGGACTTTACCTAACTCAAATACCAACCTCTGGTGACGGTGATAAATACGCAATTATCTTAGTTGCGAAGCAGACGAGGATTGGCTTTGCTTTATGTATCAACTGACACGCTACAATGTATGGTCTCTTAACAGTGTAACAAGAATGAGATGTGGACATTTGAATTTCTCCAGCTTCTCTTACTTTTGGTTTGGTCCTTCCTTGGTCAGACATTTTTTTTTAAATCGGTATCACCCCAAGCAAGGCAGTACACAGCCACTAAGACGCAAGAGCTTACAGGGTGTGGAAGAATTAGGAACAGAAACATTAGTAATGAGTAGAAAGAGAAAATAGTAATTAGGAGGACAGTAGTTAGAGATTGATATTGCATTTAAATTTTTGCAGATTAAAGTTGGCTGGAAAGCGCAGAGCAGGAAGGGAGTTCCACAAGCGAGAAGTGCTAGAAAAGAAACTATTAGCATAGAAATTACGGCTCCATCTAGCTAGCTGTTTTTGACTTCATTTTTTTCTTGTGGATATTAACAGAAATAGTGAGCAATAACTGCTCAGATCAATAAATAAATTATTGAAAATAACATTATTATATTACATTATTTCCTACACACGCAATATATGAGAATAAATGAAATCAATCCTGACCTTTTTTATTTTACAGTTTACATTAAATTTGCTCTGCAGTAGAAATAACTTTTAGTAGTCTAAATAAATGAAAAAAGAGATCAGATGACAATATATTTTTAAAATACTTTGTCCTCTTGTTATGTCATTTAAATACTAAACAATGGCTTCAGTTAGTACACTAAGACTTACCTTTGAATGTGTTCGCAGAAGATAATTGTGTAAAATTAAAGTTCCTTAAATAACTTGATTTAGATTTACTACAAAAAGAATGAAATATAAGCTAAACATAAGATTTTGTTATTCATAATTTAATTTTGTTTCTCAATTTTAAAAATACGTATCTGCGGCTGCTAATTCATATGATAAAAACCGGAAGTTTGTTTAGAGACACGTCGTGAATAGTAAACGTTGACCGGAATGGATTTCATTTGACAAATTTTCTCTTTGGAATGTCTATTTTTGTTATTAATCTGCAAAGACGGCATTGGTTTTGAAAAGTCAAAAAGTAGATTGGAACCAATTTAGACAGTTGCTGCTTTTTCATTTTTTTCGGGTGGGTCACAATTGGGAAAGTTGGGTTTTTTTTTTCAGTGAATGGCAATCGTTTAGTAACTTTGTTTTTATTGTAAAGAAAAATGTAAGTCCTGATTTGTTTTGTTGATCTCTTTCTGCCTTTATCGTCTGTTTTTTTTTTTTTTGTTTGTTTGTTTTGTTTTGTTTTTTTCGTTGATTCACTCAAAAGAAGATTTTATTATAGAATGAAAGATTGACACGTTCTTCTCACTTCAAAATAAAACTTTCAGTAACAAGACAAATACCAAATCGTAATTTTAATTTAATCCTTTAATTAAAAGAAAAAAGTTGAAATCCAAAACGAAAAACGGAAACGTGTCTTCTAAGTTTTATTTTTTGATAAGAAAGACACGTCTTGCTTTATTTTCGTAATGGTGTAAAAAAAGAAAAAAATATTTCTAACAAATTTTATAGAAGTAAAAAAAGAAAATTTAAACATTTAATAAACTGGACATGAGTAGAAACTGGATTAAAAATAAAATCCTTCTACAATTTGCCTGTTACTGAACTGAAACTTGATCTATATTTTTTGTTTTGTTTCTTTATAGAACAAAAGTTTTTACAAGATGAGCCATGACCATTAAAAAGTTGCGATTAAATTCCAACTTTCAAAGTACAAAAGTTGTTATTGTTTAATAATGGATGATTGATTATTCAATATATTTTTGTTTTTCTGTTTATCATTTCATGTCGGCTTTTACAAAGAAAAGCCGAAACTTTCATTAAAAAAAAGAACCTATTTTCTTTCAATCTGTTTTTAAATTTCTTTTCTGACACGTCGGTCATTGAATGATTAATTTTATTTACTTTTTATTTTTTTGTCTTTTAGTTTTAATGACACGAATCAAGAAAAATAACGATTGATTTTTTTTTTCTGCTGTTTTGGGGGATTTCTTACCTATTTCTTTTTTTTTATTTTGTATATCTTTCTGCATTAACGAATAAAAACAAGATACTTTTCTTAACTTTTACAATAAAATCACAATCTAATTTACTGTTTGGCACGAACTAATTTCACTTCCCAAAACAATTTTTTTTAACTATCTTAGAAATGTTTCGAGGATGAAATGCTGGAAAACAATTTTCTGGAAATTTAGCACTTTGTAATTAATTCTGATCAATAATTTTCAAGTTAAAGTAAAGAGTAACGTAAAGAAAGGTGGGAGTCAATCTAAAAATTCGGTAAATCTTAGGATTTTCTCCAAAGCAACATCTAATTTACTTTGATTTCATAATTTGCTAAAAGCTGATTGCCATTGCGTTACGGTTATGTTGTCTGATATAATCCAAAATAATATCCGAAAAGTTTTCGCATACCGGATACTAAATTAATTTCCTTTCACAGCTTTACCTAGCCTCATATTCTGAGCATATGTTTTTTTGGTAATGCAAAAATAATTAAAATAATAGCGGACTTAGACCTTTAGATAAAAAAAAAAAGGTAAATTTTCATTTTAACACCCGAGAGTCATTCACTGCTGAACTATTTTCTTTCAGAAATTAGTACGCGCTTACGTAAAGCGATTTTTTTTTGTACTTAATTTAAGAAGAAAGTTAACTTTCAAATATATGTAAACATCGACAAATAAAAGAATAACAAAAGAAAAAAACACCTCACCCTAATTTAAAAGTTAACTTTCTTCTTAAAAAAAAAATTACTTTGTTATTCTTTTATTTGTCGATGTTTGAAAGTTAACTTCTTAAATTAAGTACAAAAAAAAAAAAATCCCTTTACGGAAGCACGTACTAATTTCTACAAGGAATTACTGTGAAGGAAGTAAATAGGCCCAAATTGTATACGTCCACCAACAAAATTCAGCACTGAATTATTTATCAATAAGCCGGTAACAGCTGACAAAAGACCAGGAAAAAGTCCGATTTTTTTTTTTTTTTTTCGGGTCATTAACTTCCAAAAAGGTAGGTTTCTTCAATATCTAATTGTTGATTTCAGTTCAGCATATACATTTACATGGAAATAAGACTATTTTGGAAAAATTTGAAGGGATATTAGTGCTCGGGTGTTAAAATAAAAATTTACCAAAAAAAAAAGTTTTGTGAAACATGACTGTACATTGGAAAATCAATGTAAATAGCCGCAAATTTTTTACGGGATTATTATAGTGCTTGGGACGCTATTTTTTAAAAGCAAAAAACATACTTGTCCCAGAAGTTGAATTCTAATGCCTTTTTTATTTATGGAAAAGTATACTCAAAAAATGGAAAAAGGTTTCGGACACTAAAACAGAAAATTTTCGATACCTAGGGTTTAAAATGAATTTTTGAAAGTGAAAAAGCATTCTTGAAGGTTTCTTTTTCCAGTAAGCAAAATACTCTACTGTATTTCAAGTACAAATTATATTGATTGGAATCGAATTTTTTTTTTTTTTTTTTTTTGCTTTCATTAAAATCGGCCATTTTGACACATTTGTAAACAAAAGTTAATTCTCAATTTTAAAAAGCTTCCAAATATAAAATATACTTTTCTGAAACTTGAGGATTATTAGCTGATTTAAAGTATAATTAATCTTATTTGAAAAAAAATATTATTTACTTTAAGTTTAAAATAACAAAAATAAAACAAACAGTAGTGGTGATTATGTGCTTGTCACCACTCGTCAATCACATAACAAGTGCTGATAAATCTGTTAACACTTTATTGTCATTCTACAGAGACTATTTTTAAAACAAAATGATGGGGAAACACCTTTTTTCTTTTTTTCTTTATATAATTTTTAACTACTCAGTAATATTAAAAATATTGGAAATCTAATTTTAGTTTACTTTAAATTTACTTCATCCCTCTTATTTTCTGATAATGTTGTATATGGTTTACCATAATTTCAAACCTGGACATGTTACGTAATATTTTACATACATAAAAAAAATTAATTTAAAAATCTTGGTGCACCTAACTGGATGAAAGTAATGCAGAATTTTAAAAGATTTATATATTATAAATTATTATAATTAAAATTTAAAAAAAAAAATGAAAAAAATTCTTGTAAAAACTCATTGTTCATCAAAAAAAATTACTTAACACCATAGTGTCCTTAATAAATCATATTTATAAAAGCAATTAAAAGCTTTTCTAATTAAATGTCAATATTTTACCAAGGTTTTCACAAATAAACAAGATTTTTAACCAAAATTTTAAACATTCTATAAAGGATTAAAAAATTTAATAAAATAATAAAAAAAATAATTTCAGCAAAAAAGTGGAGGCAGCTATATTGTAGAAGAAAATATGGACAATAAAACATTTCACAGAAATCCACACACTCTACAAAGTGAGTGAAATTCCCTCAGCCCTTGATTCAATTTGAATCCAACATGAAAAAGCAATGTTGTTAAATTTGTTCTTTAAAACAAATTTGCTCTTTTGTTGTTTCTTGTTTTTAAACAGTGAACCACCCTCCCCCACACTCACACAACAACAAAAGCAGCACTGAATTTAGCCTTTTGAATATTTATTTAATTTTATTTTTCTTGGGTGAGATTTTCTCACTGAAATCAAGGCTACTTTGAACAGTTGGTTGCTTAAATGTTATTTTCTGTAGTTGTCCCGTGTCATATTTTGTGTGAGATTTTAATTCTAGAATTACCACAACCTTTTCAGTTTCCTTTTTATGATTTTTTTTTTTTTTTTAATGCAAGTAAGTTTTAATTCCATTTCCCATATTTGTTCGTTTCAGATTCCCCACAAGCTGTATACAGCATTCCAACACTCATTCCATTTCTGCTAGAAAATTTTGTTGTGTCAAGGTTTTCATATAATTTATTAAAAATTAGGAGAAACTTCAAGGCAAATTTCTTAACATTTTCCTCTTCCTAAGAAAAAAAATTTGTCTCAAAAATATTTATTAATTGGAATTGCTTTTTCATAACTTGACAGAATTGATATAACCGTTTTCCAAATTTTAAGGGAAATATTTAGAAAGTTTATATAATTCAATGTGTAATGAATGATATATAATGCATAGGAATCTAATCTAAATTTATTATGAAAATACTTCATATTACCTTTATTTTGAGTTAATGCTTCAAAAACTCAAGTAAAAATTTTCTTTCAACAAATTTATGGAAAGTAATGACTTCACTCTTTTAACAATTATTTACATAAACTTTTGTAATAAAGTTTACTCATACCTCTCCAGCATAAAAGGCAATGAGATTTTCTTTATCAAAGAAAATAGCATTATTATTACTACTTAGCTTTTATGAAAGCTTTCTTTGTGATTAATGAATGAATCATTTTGTGTTTCTGGCCAAAAAAAAATCTACTATATTTCTTAGTCTTAATCTAAAACAGACTTTCCTTTTTAAATCTCTTTAAATAGAAAATATTGATACTTTATTTCAATTCTATACTTTCTCTATTACAAATATCTGTTTTTTTAATTGTAGTAATTATTATAAAAGATGAAAATTTCTTACCTGAAGAATCTAATAGTTCCTGGTCATAAAACCAAGATTCTTCTATTCACTCTCCAAAGTGAAGCTAGTCTGATTATACCTGAAAATTGTTTATTTTAGAGAAAAATATTTAATATTTGAAGATTATGTTTTCAAGATTTTTAAGATTATAGCAGTGAAATGCTCCAGTTATAGAGAATTACTGAAAATAAAGATTTTTTTTGATTTTTTTTTTTTTTCTGCATAAGTACGAAATGCAAATCTACAATTAGCATTGATTTTAGCATTGGCTGATAGCATACCATAGCATATTTCTCCATGTGGAGCAGACTTTTCAGTTTCTGTTGATTCATCTTCCTTAATGTGACTTTATTTTATCTGGTTTCTTTTAGATATTAAGTCTCAAATCATTTATTGAGCATGTGTTTCAGGATTTCTGTAGTTTTAATGCTATAAATTTAATTTGTTTTTGCTACCTGTAATTTTTTCAGAGTTACTTATTGGTCACATTTGACAAGGTGAACAGAGATATATTTGTTTAATATATCTCTAATTTTATTCAGTGCATGAAGTAAAAGTACAGATAAGAATAGATCTGATTATTTCTGAAATATAAACAGCAAAACATGAGTGCTCATTCCAACTGAAGAACATAGGGAAGGAACAAAGGACATGATTGATTTTAAAACCAAAACTTACTATAAAATGCCTTTATTTTTATCAGACTTGAAGAATTTCTCTTGTGCATTCATTCTATTTTAATTCTCAAATATACAGCAATTCTGTCTTACCTGTTCAGCACACAAATTTGATGTTATTCAACCTTGTTCTCTTACCTTCATGAAATACATAATGCAGCCTCTTGGGATTCAAGAAGATTATTTCAACTAAAAATCTGTAGAATTTGAGAATAATTAACAACTTTAAAACCTGTTCTCCCTCAACCAAATCTCATTTATATAGGAATGCATGCAGCAAAAAATATAATTTATGATAATACTCAATATCATGTCTATTTTTTTTCTATTGATAAACATTTCTTTCTTTGAAGGTGTTTAATTTTTGTCCTAATCTTTTTCTCAGTTCCAACTTCTCTTTGTAAAAATGGAGAGTCTTTATCACCAAACCAACAAAGTAATTCAGGAAGTTCAAAATGATTTGTCTCTGCTGGAACGGGCAACTGGCCAGAATGTGCACATTGTGGAAAATGAAATCCAAGCACACATTGACATGATCACCAGCCATTGTGAACGATTAGATATGTTGGTCAACAAAGAACCAGTAAGTCGGAGAGCCAATGCCAAAATGCGAGTTGATCAACTGAAGTATGACTGTCAGCACCTTCAAGCAGCCATGAGACACTTACAACACAAACGGTAAATCTCTTCCAGCCATTGTAAATATCTAAAACCAATTCTGTTATTCTGTTGTCAAACCTTTGGGGTATGTTTCATGATGAGGAGAGCTGGTTTCTAACAATGTTTATGCAATTATACTCTCCCTTTTTTTTTTCTTTTTGAAATGAAAACATGTTTGGCTTGGGAATTTCTTTCTGTTGTAAAGTTTCAATCACAGCATCTACTTTGTTACTTCACAAGAGATTGGAAGTTTTTTACATTACATGTTGTCATAAATCAAAGAAAAAAATTTTTCTTTTTCTAATTACTTGAAAGCATTAAAAATTGCACCTTTTTCCAAACTTTTCTATATTTGTTAATCATACTGCAATGGGACTATTTGCTTGTGAAGTCAATGGTTGAAATCAGCAAAATATTGATTAGGTCAGGTTTCTTTTTCATCCAGTGAATGTTCTTCTAGTGGAACAGTTCCCTTTTTCTGATGTGATTCTTGAAATCTTATGAAATTCTTCGTCTAGATCACCTTGTTGCTTTTAGTGGTAGGAGCACTTTTATGGGATATTATGGTTAAGAATGAATATTTAGAGGTCTTTCAGCAAATCATTCAGCGTTGCTCAATCAGGAAGCTTATGTACCCTTGAACAAAAAAGTATTTGATTAAAAATATAACAGACTTTTCCCATTCACCTTATCTAAATGACAACCCAACTAGCGCCCATTCTTATATATATATCCCACAAAATGCACGCCATAAATAAAGTCACTGGACTGAGGTAAACACCGAGCCCGTTTCATGCTTAAACGTAATCTTCAGGACATGGCCTGACGATTGCATAAAACAGATTGTTGCCGCTGGGTGTTGACCTCAATGTCAACCTTTACATTTACATACGCTCTATTCCTGATACCGAGGACATTAACTCATAAATATATCATACTTTAAAATCTTATATATATATATATATATATATATATATATAATATAATTTATTTTTTCTAATATTCTTACACAAGTAATGTAAAGATTGTTCATAGAGTCTATTGTCCCAAGCGCTTTCGACTATTTTGTTAGCCATTTTAAACAAACACAAAAAAACATTAACAACAAAACTTCCTTGAAAAGAGATAAAGAAGTGCACAAGGAACAACTTTTACACTCCTTTACTCCCACCAAATGTAAAAATGCAAGAATATTAGAGAAAAACTAAATAACAAATTCTTGAATTTTTCCTTGTCTGTCATATTCAACGGAACATGTTTTAAAGAACGGTTGCAGCACAAATTTCATTGAAGACGACTAAAAAGGCACTCCAACTAAGCTTTTTTTTAAGTAATTTTTTCTTGCATTCGTACAAATGATTTCAACTTGTGGGAGTTTCAGTAGAAAACAAGGTAATAAATAATAGAACTATTGCAATCTTTCCTTTAATTTCTTTGGGCAAAGTTGAAAGGCCACTCAAATTAACTAATTCAATAAGCTCTTGTTTTTACAGTCTATCACTTGCTTGTGACTTACTTTACTAAAACAGTTCAAAATCAGAAACCACCACCAAGATTACAAACATTATTTTTTAATTTCAAAAGCACGAAATATGATTTGTGTTAAGCTCAGAGTGCAGCAGAAATATCTCCCACATTAGCTAGATGAAGATATCATTGTCTTAATATCTTACATTATGGGGAAGATATTTTTACCATACTCTGTATTATGATTTTCTGATGATGCCTTCTCATTAGAAATACTAATAACAAACAATATCAAATATAAAATAGTTGGAGAGCTCTCATAAAAATAACATAGCACAGACTAATAAAACGTACCTGTTATTTAAACAAAATCAGTTTTAAGCCTCTTTTATGATATTTTTTTTAACTTGGTCTACTCATTATTTTTCATTCAAATATTTTCTTAATAAATCCTGAAAAACTTAAATCATCCTGCAAAAATGTGTCTTTGCTTATTAGTACATTGTCTTAATGTTTCTAGAAAGCACAAATTTAATATATTCTTCCTTTGAAAAAGATTTTTACTGATCACCTTGTGCTTCACTCAAGAGTAGTAAGAATTTTTTTTTTTTTTTTAATTATTTTTAAGAGGCTATTTTATGCCGCCCTCAGTGTCTTGCACCAGACTGCAAAAAGTCATTGGCAATTTGAAATAAAGGTTTTTCATTACCTGTTGTTTATAGTAAGTCTTTATCATTCCAAATTCCTGTTAGTTCTCGTTTTTATTTATAGATATCAACGTGAAGAGGAAGAACGAGAACGCACAGCTCTGTTGTCAAGAAAATTCACTCCCAATGAACAAGACACTTCAATTGAAATGGATCATGCTTTAAGGCACAACACCCAATTGCAGAATTCTCACCGAGGTTTAGATGATTTGCTTGTGGCTGGCAGTAGTGTGTTGGGCAGTTTGAGGGAACAGTCAGTAACATTGAAAGGAACACAAAAGAAGATTCTAGATATTGCCAACATGCTTGGTCTATCCAACACTGTCATGAGACTGATTGAAAAACGGACATCACAGGACAAGATCATTCTTTTCGTCGGCATGTTTGTCACTGTCCTTATAATGTATATAGTCATTGCTTACCTCATCTGATCCTGACTGTCTTTCACACTGGTGGCATCACACACTCTTTTCCAATTACAGGAATGCTAGAAGATTCTTCTCCTTCCTCAAATGATTTTACAGCCTTGGCACCAAAGACATTCTGGTCATCTTTACTGGTTTATCGTCACAAGGCAAAATACTGATTCAATTTAATATGAGCTTTGTCTTTAGATTTCAGCCATAATTATCATATTCTTTATTGTTATTGATTCAGGATTAAATGCCAAATAATTTCTGTAAAGGCAACAACAAGCCAAGAGTTAATTGACTCAAGGAAAATATTTTTTAAATATCTTTGTAATGTCATATATTTGCACTATAAGGAGTAATGAAATCTTGGAAAATTTTCCAACCATCATCAGGTGGCTTGGTATGGCTAATACTTGAAGAAAATATTAACTGAACTATTAAAAAATAGTTGTCTTTTTCAAAAGAATGTAATGTCTCATTCCAAAATGTGTTGGTTCAACTAAATTTGTAAATGCTAAGAAGCTTTGCTTAGAATTTTGGAAATGCTTTCCAGAAATATATCTTTCTCTTTGAATCATTCCTTGTTCTGGAAACATTCCCCACCCTCCTTGTTGATTGTTCACTCTTTTGCCTTTCCAATTATAACTAATGTCTATTTACAAAACACATGCAATGGCAGTAACATTTGTCATTGTGGTCTTGTTGACCAGATTTCACTTGATTTTTTTTTTTTTTTTTTTTTTTTTTTTAAAAGATTCAAAAGAAAAACTACTTTTTAAATGTGGAAAATAATTCCAAACCTTTGTAAGAAAAAAAAGTTTGGTTTTTGAAATTAAAACTTAAGCTAAAAATTTCAAGTAAATTTTTTTGTCTTTTATTAAAAAAAAAAACAAAAAAAAACTAAGCAATTATTCAAATTGAAGGTGGTAAGTATTGGGAGTCATTTGATAGTGATGTCAGTCATTTATATAAAGTTAACAAATAATCAATGTTCATCCAGAAGATGTTCGTTTTTGTGTCAATGTGGTAGCTTGGGTGATTTGAAGCCAAATGAATATCACTATCCTTTGGCATTTGCTCAATAGCATTGGGGTTAGAGACTATTCACTGCTTTCCATAATGACAAAATCAGTTTGACTAAGTAACCAAATGGTGGTATTAATTTCATCTCAACAACAAAAATATTTTAAATGTGAAACAAAATCACAAAAAATAATCAGTAAAAGAAAATATTTATTATGTTGAAAAGAAGATACACTTGTTTTCCAACTCTTTCCAATTCTGAGAATATACAAGTAGTAATGGGATTAATGTGTCCCAATCCATCTCAAAGTTGAAGAAGTGACCAAGATTTAATAACTATAATACATTTAAAGTGTTTTACAGAAAATTTCCAGTTTTAAATATTCATTTTTTATATTTCTGTGTTTAAAAATTCAAGCTAAGTTTATATAAATGTCAGTTTGGCTGTGTGTAATTGAGCCCATGGAAAAAAAAACATAAATTAAGTTGCTAAACAGATGTTTATATACCTTATTTTATTAAATATGTCCTTCAAGGATTAATTCAAGATAAGTTAAACATGCAGTTAAATGAAGGGAAACATATCTATCTCTCTCTCTCTCTCTCATATATATATATATATATATATATATATATATATATATATATATATATATATATAACTAGTACCTCCACAAAGGCAATACCTAATGGTTAAAATGAATTTTTAAATATAATAATTCCATTAACCTAAATAATTTACTGTATTTCAAAACTAATTTAAATTGACTGGAAAGAAGTTTTTGTTTTGAAATCACTGATTTTAGTGCCATCTGTCATCACACTGTAATTCTCTATTAAAAAATCTTCCAAAAATAAAACATAATTTTTGAAACTATATTTGAGAATATTAGCTGATTTAAAGTTTAATTAATCTTCTGAAAAAAACTATTACTTACTTTGAGTTTAAAATATTGCAGAAATACATTTAACTCTGGTAGGTGTTTATTTAACATGTTGACAACTTGACTGACAGACGGAAGTTTATCTAATTTTTTCTATTCTGTAACAATTGAATATAAAGTGAGCACCTTTTTTATATAATTTTTAACTGTTCAGAAATCTAATGTTTTATTGAATTTTAGGTACTTTGGCTTTAAATTTACTATATTTATCACTCTTAATTTATGATGTCATGTATGAATGTCTGTATTTACAAATCTTTTTAAAATATTAGGGACTGCTGAATTGTAGTAAGTTTTTCCATTTATACTTATTAAATATAGCTTTTACTTAATAAAAATATCTAACCAATACAAGTTAATACAGAAATTTAAGATTTAAAACTTTATAAATTATTCTAATTAAAAATTTTTAAAAATGAAAACAATTTTTGTAAAAATTCATCATTCATCAATGTATCTTATTCAGAAAAACAATTAAAAGCTTTTCTAATCGAATGTCTTAGCTTTACTTCTTTTTTTATTTTAAGATTCAGAGAAGATTTTCAGTAACTGGGAGTCATGTTTTAAAAATATTTGATCATTTAAATTCTCCAAGAAGTTCTGCAAATAATATAAAAATGAAGCATTACAAAAATTAATTTTATAAAATTAAGTAAGTGGTGGGATAATAGGTAAAAAAAAAAATTACCTCTAAAATAATTTCATTGGTTTGTGAATAAGTCTTGATAGGTTCATTAAAATCTGGAAATTATTAGATTTTTGCAGGAATTTCCAAATCAATGAATTTTTTTGCTGCAAAAAAGGCACTAAAATTTCCTATACTAATCTTATTCCCCCCTTCCTATATTAATCTTTGGTCCATCCCTTCCCCCCCACACACACACACTTGCAAAAACGAGATTTTTTAAAAAAAAATTTCAAACCTAGAAAAGGATGAAAGGATAATTTAATAATCAAAAAATCTTTTGATCTTTCTTATTAATAATAACAAAGATTTTGATAAAACTTTGTTTTTATTAAGTTTGAGGAATTTTTTCACATTGATGTGATCATTTTGTTTGTGAACCTGTGGAGGTCACTACATAAAACTATTTTTAAGCTATAAGATTCTACCACAGAATTGTCAGATATAGGCACAGGTTTTCAAGTATTTCAAATATCGCCTCTCTCTGTTTATTTTAGGGTTTCCATATATATTATGCTACGTCTGTTCAGGATAGAGGTAGTCTATGGCTCTCTACAGATTTCTTTCTTTTACTTGAGGAAAAGGTAGTGAAGTGGTTTCTTATTGCCTTCTTCACAGTTTTGAGTTGATCTTTTTCTATACTGGCTGCCACCAAAGGCTAGAGAGCCCAGTTTTCTATGCTGTTTAACCTATAGCTGCAATTGTGGAATGCCTTTCCTTTGATCATTTGTACAAACTAAACCCAACAGACAAGCATGAAATTTGAATTGCGGTTGCCAATTCTGTATTGAAATCTTACACTACCGACACATCCTTCATTAAATGGAAGCTACTTCTAATTCCTTCTTTCCATTACAATTCCTAAATTTTCTACATTTTTTTGCTTCACTTTTTTATGATCTGACTCATTACGTTTGTTCCTTTTCTTTCTGATGAAGAGCTCTGACTGAAAATTTAGTATGATGGATTTTTTCTCTTGTACTTAAAACTTTCTCAGTTTATTTTGTCATTTTTCTCTTAGATTAAATCTTTTTATTTTATTTTTATTTCATGGTTTCTGGTCTTTATTCTCATTCCTTTTGTTGAATTCAAATAAATGTTGCCAAAAATTTGCAGAAATATTTTGTTTGTTACTCTTTTTTTTGGGGGGGGGGAGAAGAAAAACAAAATAATCTTCATATCATCCAGGAAAATAATATAAATATTATTAAATGATTTCTGTTTGAATTTCTGAGATGAGGACTAAAGCAGTAAGAAAAGAGAGTCAGTGATGAATGCATTCAAACATGACAAACATCAACAGGCAAGAAAGAACAACATAGTAGCCTCATAGCTTAAAGCATTGCTTCATGACTTTGGTGACACAGTGACTGTGAATTCAATCCCCATGTAGTACAAATGAAGAGTCAGTGGAAACAGAGCTAGTAATAAATAAGTAATACTAAATAACAAAACATGATATCCCTAAAAAGCACAATGTACCTGACCTGGAGGTTAAATAAAGAGTTCAGTTCAAACTTACCTGAAGGTTATCTGGCTCAAAGTCTTGAGGGCACACTGACCAAAAGAGTGTTATAATAACAGCAAAGACAAAGACGTTATTTCAAATGTAAATATTGTCAGGTGGTTCTTAAAAATCAGTCATTAATAAATGCTATAAAGTTCAATTGTGATATTTCTTGACACTACCTTTATCTACAGTGGTAACATGAGATAGATCGGACAACTGATCTGCCTCAAGACAAAGGTTATATTGCTTAAAGCATGCATAACTATTATGACTTATGTAAAATTATTTTGTGAAAATCACAAATGAAATCTGGACTGCACTATTTTATAACATTTTTTTCTGAGACACATTAAATCAACAAGAATTGAATCTAATTTTTATGACATATTTAAAAGAAATGAAAAGTAAAGAAATTTTATGTTTGAACATAAGCTTTGCATTTTTAAATATTTTACTATTGCTGTTTTACTTATTCAAAGATACAAATTCAAGAAAATAATAATGTCTCAAGTCTCATAAATCTTTCTCGACAAAATGAAAAATAGTTTGTAATATTCAAAAATTGTCACAACTTTGATGAAGTTTTTCCTTTTTTAGTAGAAGTGAAGTCCCATTTAGAGAGTTCTTTCTGTGAATGTGGCCATAAGCCTATCAAGACAGTTACACTCTGCCTGATAGCTCATTATTTTCCTGACCCAGTAATTGTTTGGAAAGAATAAAGCTATTCAGTGGCATTTAACACCATAAATTAAGTTCTGATTATGACAGTTGTGGCTGTCACCATCTTTTGAGGATTACAAGTTTTGGGGTTTTGTTCTTATTTTTTGTTTTTTTTGTTTTGTTTTGTTTTTTTTAT